ATATGGATAGTTTATTGTATGCCAATTGTATCTCATGAAGCTATTAAAAAGAATAAACAAAGTCAATGTCCAAACAAGTTCAACTGATCTTCCTTCCCACTTACATTTATGCATCTTATTTGTTGAAGAAACTTGGTGGTCTGTCCTGTAGAGTTTCCCACATTCTGGATTTTATTTATTGCAAAAAAGAATCCTTATCTTTTCAAGCTTTATATAATGAAGTCTTTATGAGTGAAATCCATGTAGGGGGTGGGGAAGAAGAGACTGGCCATGTGTGGATAATTGTTCAAACTGGGTGATTGGTACATGAGGTCTCATTATACTATTTTACTTTTTTTGTGCTTAAACTTTTTTTTAATAATAAAAATGTTACGTCTTGGGTCCTACCTCAGGGGTACTGAATCTCTCAGGTGTTCAGCATAAAGGTGTGCATTTTTATAAACTCCCAAAGTGATTTTTTTAGACACTAAAGAGAACCACTGCCCCAGATCAAAGAAAAGACATCAACCACAAGGATGGGCAAACAGTTTTTAGTAGGTGTCCTTTCTATTTCTCATTAATTTACAGTAGTAAGTTAGCTATTCTTCTTCAAGAGACATGTATGGCTCTGCCTGCCTCTTCCACTGCTGATCTCCATATACATATTATTTATATTCTTATTTAGTCTTAAATGCATGATTGTCCAGTTTGGGCTTACCATATAGACTCAAATGATTTGTCTAGATTACTCTGAATTTCAGCCCTAGATAAAACTTGAAATAAAAAGGCTTTCCTTCTTCTGTATCTCCGGTCTCACCTCTACTACATCTTTTGCTCCCTTTGTGACTTCCTCCTTCCTCAAATAGCCAGTGTCTTTTTTCCAATCTTTGATAGTGATAATTTTCACTATAAAAAATACTCACAAATTATCTGATAGGGCTGGGCACAGTGGCTCATGCCTATAATCCCAGTGCTTTGGGAGGCTGAGGTGGGAGGATCACCTGAGGTCAGGAGTTTGAGACTAGCGTGGACAACATAGTGAGATTGGGTCTCCACAAAAACAAAACAAAACAAAAAAAAACAACCAAAACCAAAACCAAAAAACAACTAGCCAGGTATGGTGGTACATGCCTATAGGCCTAGCTACTCTGAGGCAAGAGGATTGCTTGAGCTCAGGAGTTTAAGGCTGTGGTGAGCCATGATCATGCCACTGTACTTCAGCCTGGGTGACAGAACAAGACCTTGTCTCAAAAAAGAAAATCATCTAATAAACTCATTTATATAAGAATACTGATTGGAGTCATGAAGTGTTCTCAGGCAAAGTTGATTTAAATAACACAGAGGATTTAAATTAATGTAAAAAAAAAAGTATAGTGATGGGTTCTCAGGCATCAGATAACCTACTCAGGAAAAGATTTTGAGGTGGTGCTCAAGTTTTTTTAAGACCCTCTAAAATCTTACCAAATAGGCTGTTACTTATTTGTCACTGGAAATGTATCCTTGGAAGAGTCATATAATGCAATGACAGTTCTTTCTTCTGTAACATGCATGGAAAAAATTAGCTGTGGCTGCAAGTAATAAAAAGTCATACTCAGACTTTCTTAAACAGCTAAGAAAACTTATTGGCTCAGCGAAGTTCCTAAATCCAGAGGAAGTGGAAGGCTTCACGCTGGGTTTGAGCCCTTCCATCATGTGTCAGCTTCATCCCCATGCTGGCTTCCTCGCAGCAGCCAAGTGGCTATGGTATCTAGAGGACTCAATTCACCCAACACACCAGCTAAAGTAAGAAAAAGAGCACTTTTATTTTGAGTCAGGGTCTCACTCTGTCGCCCAGGCTGGAGTAAAAATGACACGATCACAGTTCACTGCAGCCTCAACCTCCTAGGCTCGAGCAATCCTTCCACCTCAACATCCTAAGTAACTGGGACTATAAGCATGTGCCCCCATACCCAGCTAATTTTTTATTTTTATTTATTTTGTTAGTAGAGACATAATCTCCCTATATTGCCCAGGCTGGTGTCTAACACCTGGGCCAAAGTGGTCATCTCACTGCTGCTTCCCAAAGTGCTAGGGCTACAGTCATGAGCCACTTGCACCTGACCTAGAGCTCTTTCCATTTTTCAGCAAACACAAGGTCTGGCCTTCCATATGACTGGGACCGATTTAGACCTGTGTCAGTGCTTATCAGTGGACACTGACAGGTCAAGAGGGCCCTGGATTAGGGTGATTATCAGTCAGGGCCCACACCTGGAGCTGTGCCTAAGCAAATCCTTGGCTGCCTCACAATTGCAGAGGGGGTGGAAATGTATACTGGTGAAACAGCCAATATAACGCCCATTATAAAAGCAATATGATATTCCATACCATTACATGACACAGTTTAAACTCTTCCTTCTACTATCATTTAATGTTTAACTTATTTCCAATTTTTGGTATCATACTATAAAAAAGAAGTTGCAGACCTAAATGAGGGAAACATGGCTGTAAGGTACAAGAGGGAATGTAGAGGCATTGGCAAGAGAGAATGCAAGTCCTATGACTAATTGCTGTTATGTGAGAATATAAGCTCACTGTTACCAAATCTTCCACTTTTAAAAGAGAAGCCCAGAATGCATGTACAATCTTCTGGTTTTTAACTCTGGCTATTTTTGTTTTTTAAAGTACCATGCATGCCAAATTAATCATGTTTGAGGGTCAGATCTGGATCTGGGCCACCAGTTTCTGTCATGTTATGAATCATGCTAGCATATTTTCTAACACCTTTTCCCAAAGAGAGAGCTTCAGTCCTTTCACGGACCAAGACTACTAGAATACGCTTAATGCAAGTAAAGTCACAGTGCAGAGAGAAATAAGCAGCAAACATTATATGAAGAACGCTTTGTTATGAATTCTCCACTCCCTACTGTACCTCTAGTAACATTTGCTAGGATTGTTTTCTGGTGGCAAGGAGGAGTTTGCACCAAAACACCTAACTGTCTCTTATCAAGGTTCTACTGTGAGCAAGAGCTCAGTTTTACAGAATGATCCCAGGTGGTGAGAGGTGTGACGTGGCTATGGGACAGGGTTTTTCTTTTCCTTGTAGTAAACTGGCACATGGACTGATTCTATCATAAGTGACTTAGACGTCATGCTCCACTTAAATAGAAAAATTAACTGGCAATGACCAAGGGTGGCCACTATTATTGCTTTCAAAGACATATGGAACTTAATTTGGGGAACACTAAACTTGCTTTGGACTCATCATTTAAACAATTTTTCTTTTTCTTTCTTTCTTTCCTTTTTTTTTTTTTTTTTGCAAAGTCTCTTATTGAATGCCCATAATCACCACAAGGTTGTCCTTTTTTGTCAAAAAGCTTCACTCCAATTAGAAGATACCAGAAGGCAGAAACTATGGCTTTTTCTTCTGCTGACTTCCCCCATGGGACCCAGTGTAACATCATTAGTATTTTATTTAGTAGAGGCTTAGTACTAACTTGTTGTCACATTTACTAATAGATACTGTACATCTCAGGAAATCCACGGATGATCTGTATTATTCTAGCTCTAACTTTATTAAATATCATCAAAGATTCCAGTATTTATTGCCAGGTCCAGGGCTAGGCAGGCTCTTGGGATACAGTGGTCAATAAAAGACATTTTGGGAAGGAGCACAGCAGGTAGGGGAAACATGAAATAAACAGCTGCAACATTCTTTACATGTTCCAGCATCTGCAGACTTTTATATTAGGAAAAGGGGGGAAAAAGGAACTTGGGAGTGAGGGCCCTCTGGACAAATGTCACATTTCTCAGGGTAGCTTTTGGATAATGGGTGGGGAAATGAGGGCAGGGGAGGGAAGTGGGACAGAAGGGAGGATTTTAAACTAAAGAAGACATTCCAGAGCCCAAGTCACTGGCCACATGGGTTCACTTATTCATGCAATTCCATTAATGAGTACTTCCTATGAGTCAGGCAGGATGCACTGGGGAGAACTGAAAATGAATGAAGCAGGTTCCCTAGGGATAAAATACAGACTGAGCCAACCTAGATACACTTGATACATCAGGTGCCACAAAGCAACAGAAACAAAGTGCCAAGGAGATTCAGAACTTGTATGGGTCATTTCTGGCTGCAGGCTCTGGAAAGAAGGATATCCACAGCAAAAAAGAGCTGGTTTATTTTATCTTTACCTAGATTGTACCTCAAAATCTTTGACCCCAAAAGAGAAAAAGATTCTTCATCTAAATACACTTATTCCTGTAGGTTACTTCTGTCTTCAATCTCCCTCACAGGACAACTTAACAAGGGGGCATTTCATAGGCACACAGACAATTTTGAAAGAGGCACGGAAAAGAGCGACTGCTCAAAAAGTGAGGACTCTTTAAAGCAACTTCCTTTAAGAATACTGTCCATTAAGATGAAAATATATGCCAGGCACGGTGGCTCACGCCTGTAACCCCAGCACTTTGGGAGGCCGAGGTGGTTGTTCCAGACCAGCCTGGGCAACATAACGAGACCCTTTCTCTCTTAAAATAATAACAATAATAACAATAACAACAACAATAAAAAATAGCCAGGTGTTGTGGTCCATGCCTGTAGTTCCAGCTACTCAGGAGGCTGAGGTGGGAGAATCATCGCTTGAGCCCTGGAGTTGAAAGGTGCAGTGAACTATGACAGTGCCACTGCACTCCAGCCCGGGTGACAGAGTGAGACCTTGACTCTAAAAATTCATAATATAAATTAAAACAAAAAAAAGAAAGGTTTATAGCAAGTAAATTATCACCCCCCCCATTCATTGTTGTCGTGGAACTCAGAGTCCGCTGGCAGAACTCACCTGACTAGAGGTTGGCCGGGAGCGGCTTTCCCTCCGGGAGCTCCCCCGACGCCGCAAGCACCCGGCCTGCAGTGCATCCCCGCTCCGAGACCTCGGGGCCGGTCAGGTTCTAGTTCCCATCCGTAGACAGGCCGGGCCGTCCGCGGGCTCACGCGCCGCCGCCGCGCGGCCCGGGAAGCCGCCTCCGCCT